CCCAGGCTAGCCACGCGCGCACCACTCCACCTCAGGCAACCAAGTGGCCCTAGCCTTCCCCTGCCTGGAGTGGTGGGGATCCCAGGAAACAACACTTCCCTGTTTTCCTGGCCCTGGGTGGTGGCTTGGGTGGCCCAAGAAGCCTGGGTCCTGCTGCCAGACAAACCCCCAGCAACCCCTTCCAGCCACCAACCCCAGTTCTGAGCTAAGAGCAACCTGCTGCAGGCAGGTAGGAGAAGGCTTGACTTGGGCAGGACATGAGCAGGGCCACCCATGTCTCTCTGGGTAGGCAAAGCCTTCCCCTGCCTTCATTACCTGTCACCCACGAATTACAGAATCTTCCATCGCTGTTAAGACTGAACCTTGACATGAAGAGGTCGGGGTGCTTAGTCGGCTGCTTTGTTTATATCTCTAGCCCCAAGAAGGGAAGTGTCGGGCTGAGATGGCGTCTTCCCGTGCTCCCAGACTCCTCCGGGAGGCGCTGCCGGAGAGAAGCGAGCTTCAGGAGAAGTGCAAAGGTAAAATCCATCCTCTCCCCGAGCCTCAACCACTCCCCCTGTCTCTCCGCCACGGGAGGTGCTGCTGAGTTTCCTGGTGTCCTCCTGAGACTGAGCAAACATTTAAGTCAGGGGTTGGGGAACCTAAGGCCCAGGAGTCATATCCAACCCCCAAGGCTCGGGGCTCCTCCCCTCCCAACATTGGGGAGCTCATGCTGGTTCTTCAGCCCCACATCCCCCCTACAGCTCCTCCTGCAGGGCTGAATCACCAGTGCCCCACTGTGAGAAGAGGAGCCCCAAGCCTTGCGGGTCTTTCTCCTTCTCAGGCATGGGTCACACTAGTGAGGTTTTTTTTTCTTCACTTCTCACTTGTGTGCAGCCCCCTGCCCTCAGACCGATTGGCCTGGGGTTGGCGAGAGCGTGTGCGAAGTTTCCTTCCCCCACTGCTGCCACCAGTGGTGCATGGCGCATAGAGGGAGCTGCCAGAGGCTCAAAACAGCTGGCGGTTCCCTCTCAGCGCTGCGTGATCCTGGCACGGGGGCGAGAGAGGTTGTGTGCTTCCCTCA